GAACGCGCGCGCGCTTACTGGCTCGTGCATAACTAACCAATCAGAATGCTGGCTTGCGCATAAATCGCATGCCTCAGACTTCCCAGAGTCGGCGACTTGCGTTTTGGACCGGGCAGTTCGTATATGAAGGCCAAAGTCAGGTTGGTATATAAACTGGTGTCGAGCTACAAATGGTCATTCCTCACTTGCTCCTCTTGCGGTCGGGGTGCCCACGAAGCACAGGAGGCCACCATCACGGTTGCAACGACGGTACGGCCAATAGGGTCGTCGGTATGTTGATATTTTTGCGCACAATCATGCAAATAACTTACATTTAGGTATGCTGATTTTGACAGCTGATCGTTCATGCGTGTCGTTCACCGAGACAGTCGCTTTGTAATAATTAGTTTTTATATATGCAACACTCGCATGACCTGCGTACGTCCGATTGACAAGTATGTGCTGCGAACCGACATTATCCATGGAAATCCGAGACTATGTCCGGATGAACTATTGAATAGACTAGACCGGTGATGGTGTGCGGGTCCTGCGCGATAAACTACGCCGCTTGGACTATCCTGTATGTGATCTGCAGGGTATCCGAGATCCGGTGCGCCCATTTGGACCCATGGCTGTCTGTTTGTGATGATGGGAGTTTGAATGTTCTCCCTCTTGCTTCCGTCCATCCGCCTGGTTTGCTTGCAAAGTATGGTGACACAGTTCAGGCAGATCCAACCTAGCTTCTCCAATGCTACCACACGCAGGTGTGGGAAGTTGGTGGGTTTTTCTACCGTCAAATCCATCCCCTCTGGTCGTTCCCATTCCGTTGCCTTGCACTACACAGTTCAGATCCAACCTAGCTTCTCCAATGCTACCACACGCAGGTGTGGGAACTTGGTGGGTTTTTCTACCGTCAAATCCACCCCCTCCCTCCGTTCCCATTCCGTTGCCTTGCACTAATTCTTTTCCCATTTACTTTCCAGGCACAACTGTGGAACACATTTTTAATGGTTCTGTTATTTGTTGGCAATCAGTCATAATAAAATT